CTTAGAAGAGGTAATCTCAGTTTTCCAAGCTCCCTCACTTCTATGCAAGATTGCTTCTGAGACTCTGGGGCATAAACACTTTACTAATCTCTTCCTGTCCTTACCTTTGGTGTATACTCAAACACCGACGTCTGCATTTTGGACCAATCATATCACAAAAGTCCTGACCTGTTTGGCATCTGTTGGTCGGTCAGTTAATCAGAGAGGGGAAAAAGTCAGTGCAAGTGGGAATTCATAAAAAAATCTATTTTTAACTTAAAATGTATATGCCTTAAGTTGCTGCATTTCTGATGTAGGAACACATCCTCCTGAGCATCAGCATCTAACTAAAGTTCCCCTTTTTTCTTTCTTAAACCACACTCCTAACACACAACCATATGATTTCCGGTTTTGACTTCTTTAAAATAGAGCAAATGGCAAAGCAGTCTGAATGCAGAGAACTATATTTACCTCCTTTTTTAGGTGTTGCATGTACATTTACTTGGCAGCATTTTTTTAAGTAAGCTTACCTTTACTAACTCCTTCCAAAGTGTTCAACCTAGTTTCATGGAAACTCTTTGTCCAGTCTTACTTTTTAAGTTTATGTAAGGGCTAGCTAAACAGATAATTACAGTAAAAATACAACAAGAATAAATAGTTTGGGAGCACAAAAAATGATCCTGGGTGTGCAAGGCTGTCATCTGGTAGGGGCAGATGAGCCACGGGGACCTGTAGAGAGGTGACCTGGCTGCGAGCATTCTGGTGTGGTGAGCAGTCACAGGTGTGTTTTACTGAAGGACAGTGTTGGTCACTCCAGTGAGATGGCTCAGTGAAGGTTGGTTAGGAAGATATTCCCTTAAAATAGCTAGTTTTTTAATTGAGCACTTACTATGTAGTCATTATTGTGGTAAGAAAAATTTTAAAAATATGGATAAAATCAAACACTTATACCACGTGCCAGGTACATCCTGTGTATTCTCACCCTTAGCAATTCTGTAAGTTATGCACCCCTCTCCCCACCGCCTTTGACATTGAGAAAACTGAGAATCAGAATCTCTACTTGGTTTAAAGTCACATAGCTACAGAGTGTTGGACCAAGAATTCTACCACACCATGACCGATGACATTCTGTTTATGTAGTGTAACTACTTGGTTATGATACTCATGGCTGCTTTTCCACGATAGCTGGGTATTTATTTGCCCAAGGGAGTGTACACATGGGGAGAAGGGTCCCTAGGAATGCCCCCCTCCTTGACCATGCCATCTCCACTCCCAGATTGCAGACTTGACCACAGAGCTTGCTGATGAGCACTTTAAAGGGGATGTGGCCTGCCAGGTGCTGGAGAGTGAGCGGGCAGAGCGGCTGCAGGCCTCCCGGGAGGTCCAGGAGCTCAAGGTGAGTGGTCAGCGGTGGCTGGAAGTAGTTGGGCCTCCCCCTGTGCTCACACTGGGACTGGTGAGCCTAAGCAAGATACAGAGGTTGACTGACTCCCATGCTCAAGGGTCCCGGGGGCATTTGGGTGTTCCTAAGGTGTAGCCTTGGAGGCGCCATGGTTCTGAAGACCAGTCCATGTTTGTCCACCAAGCTCCAGTTTGGACTTTGCACCTTTTCTTCCAGAGCAAGTATGAGCAAGTGCAGAAAAACTTGGAAGATGTGCAGAAAAGGTTAGAAGAAGCACAACAGAAAATTCAATTGAATGCTTTGGAAAGGAATTGCACTGGAGGAGGTGAGCAGCCTGGGAACCCTCGGGCTGGACGCTGGTGGGAACAGCCGCCTTTTCATTTCATTCATTCATGTCTAGAGACACATTGAGTACTCACTGGGTGCTACACACTGCACGAGGGGCTGGAATTGACAAGTGCAGCCTCTGCCTTCTTGGAGCTTATAGTAAGGTGACCAGATTTTAACATTGGTAAAGTGGGACACCATTGACCGGGGGTGGGGGGTGGGGGGATTCTTAATTAAAAATTTTGTCTATACGGAACAACACAAATTTTCATAGAATGCGGGACTTTTTTAAAACGCCATGGGACATGGGACAAATTGTTAAAAATTGGGACTGTCCTGCCAAAAGCAGGACGTCTGGTCACCTTAGCTTATAGGCCAATGCAACAGGCAGGCATTAAACAGATAATCCAACAATCCCAGCCAAATAAGAAATCATCAGTGTTATAGCTGCTGTGTAGTAATCATTCAAAGAAAGATTTAAAAAACAGTGACTCTATGGATTAGGTGCATATTCATTTATATACATATTTATTTTAAAAATAAAATTTATTTTAAAAACAAATTTTGAGGAAGGCCGTTTAGTACTTCAAAGTTGAATCTGTGAAGTTACCTTTATGGATTTGAATTTCGACTCTCTTATGGGATTGGTGGCGTCAGGCAAAGAAATTGTTATTCTTCAGTTTCTTAATCTTCGAGATCGTCTTCAACGGTCACTAGAAAGTGTTTAGCTATGTACGTGTGGCCCAGAGGGCTGACTAGCTTTATCCTTGTTATTACGGGGAATAATGAAATCACCGTCCAGCCTCACAACAACCCATGGAACAGAAATTACCATTTTACGGATGGTAAAGGTGCATTAGGCGCTCGACAGTCACTGAACGGTGAGGAGTGAGGACTTGGGCTCTACCAATCATAGATGTGCTCAGTAGTGCCAGCAGGTCCCCTTCTTATACAGCTGCCTGGAGACATATCTGTTATGGTTGGATGACGTGGCGACACCTTTGTAAACTTCCCGCTGTGTGTTTTACCCTCCTTAGCCCAACAGGGTTGGGTGAGAACCTCCAGCATATCAGCTTTTATAACATGTCACCATCATCCCTTCCATTTGTGCCTTTGAAATATGAGGGGCACTCCCAGGAACAGGGGTGTGTAGGGGCGAGACCAGGTGCATTTGTTTTCTGCTCCACTCCTTCCACTTTAGGTCCCCTCAGGGAGGTACTTACCAGGGAGGTTTAACAGAGGAATTTGGGGTTTTCTGATATGGGAGAGCCAACAGGTAGGCGACACTTAGGGAGAGGGGCCCATGTTGGCACAGAACCAGAAGCATGGGGCAAAGCAGTTTCCCCCAGAAGAGCACCTGCACTGGTTTCATCTGACTGCGATTCACGTCTAAATGATGTCCCTAGTGCGTCTCCTGTGGGAAGAGTGAGGAGTTAATGAGCGGGGGAGATGTGCTTAGCTCATGGGCACATTGGTCACAATGCTATATAGTCTCTCATCTCCGGATGCTCATTCCAAGAAGCCGACCCACAAATGTTTTGTCTTTCATTAAGAAAGCAATACATACTCATTACAGAAAATTTCTGAAATATAGAAAGTTGAAAGAAGCAATAACACATTTTAATTATACCACTGCAATGGTACCACAACCTCCTCTATGGTTCAAGATGGAGTATTAATTATTAAAAATTTTTTCTTTTATGCACAGATAAATATTTAAAGAGAACCCTGTATGATATGTGCTCAGCACCAAGCTGGACACTGGACGGGTACTTGCAGTGTAAATGGAGAAAACAGATAAATGCTGGGTCAAGGAGACTGGCCGGTGGAAATTTGAATTACACATGCTGAGTGACAGCAGTGCCCATGTCAGGGAAGTCAGAGGTGGAAATGGATCTCGAAGGATGGAGAATAGTTTCCTCACTTGCTTACGGCACTTGCTCTGTAGCACGGTATAGCACGGAGCCCTTGGCAGCTGCAGAAATTCTTGCTGCAGCCTCCTCTTCCTTTCGCAGGCCATGCAGGCTTGTTACCCTGAGGCTTCTTCCTGGCAAAGAGATGGGATTCTTTTCCCATCATGATATTATTTGTCTTGGTGGAAATTTGAACAGTCTTTAACTGTTTACTATTATATCATCCTTCTTTGGGTTAGTTGTGTGGAAATCTCTATTGGGGTTAGTTCTTCCAGGCACTTAATCCTAACATCCATCCATCCATCCTGCCGGGTTTCCATTCCTCACTCCACCTATCTATCTACCCTACCATTCCTTACTCCATCCATCCATCCATCCATCCATCTTTCCATCTACCCCATGTTTATTATCTATCCATTTATCAGTCCATTCATTCATGCATATACGCATTCATCTATCTACTAATCATCCATTCATCCATGCACCCAACCTATCTGTCCACCCTAACATCCAACCCATCATCTACCCACTACCCATTCATCCATCCACCAGCCAGTGAAACTTATTGAGCATTTATTGTATGCTAAGCATTATAGTGTTTTCTGAGTACGCTGTGACGAACAAAACAAGTTTTTGCTCTGATGAATCTGAGTCCTCTTCTGAATTTCCTTAAGCTTCTTTATGAGACCCTCGGTCCTACTAGCTTACAGCTACATTTTTTACATGTTTGTTTTCTCCTCCACTAGATTTATCCTGGAGGGCGAGTGGAAATGGCTTTTAATTCATTTCTTTATCCCTTGTGCCTCATACAAAGTAGTGTGCTCAATGTGTGTTTGGATGGATGGATAGAAGGATGGATTGATGAATGGATGGATGGATGATAGATGAATAAGTGGATAGTCTCTATCACAGGCTGTCCACTTGTGAAATGTTTTTTTATAGCTCTACTTACCAAAGAGACATTATTATTTACATGGTCAAAAGACAAGACATCATAACTACACTAGCCCACTCTCTTCCATCAAATAGTTTTAGTCAAACCAGAAAATGATTTTTTTGAGGTTTTTATCTAACAAAAAGATTTTTTATCCATGTTATCTTACAGAGATATCTTGTGACCAGTATTCCTATAGGTATACGGGTAGTAGACTCTTCAATTATTGCTAACTTATTTATTTGTTAATTCAAGCAACACTCAATAATTACATACTCTGAGGTTGGCCAATGGGATTATTCCTTTTGTCTAATGATTTTTGTTAGGTTTGTTAAGCAAGTGCTGAGCTTGCATCAACATGCTTGGCAATATTCTTTTAGAGTGTGTGAAGGACTCACAGCTGACCCAAACAGATCCCCTTGTCCATTCAGCTGGGTAAAGCAAGGTATGAGTACCCTTGTAGAAGCAATTGAATAGCATTAGGCAACTGATCCTGGGAGAGTGAATAATCAAGAGCTTTAGGCAGTGGGGGGTAGTCAGGAGAGGCTGCCTGGAGGGAGAGGTTTTTAAATCTTGGACTTAAAGGATAGTTTCTTAGACCAAGGCTGAGGTGCAGGAGCTCCATGAATATTGCAGAATTGCATGTGAAGAGCCAAGAAAGGGAAAGGAGCTGCTCTCCCTCCTGCCTTACCTTCACTCTGTCTCCCTCACTGTTAAACAGCAGATGAGTGGCAGATGCGCTTCGACTGTGCCCAGATGGAGAACGAGTTCCTCAGGAAGCGTCTACAGCAGTGTGAGGGGAGGCTGGACTCGGAGCTGACCTGCAGGAAGGAGCTGGAGCAGAAGGTAAGATTCAGTGGTGGCTCATGTGGGCCACAGAGGTGTCAGGGAGGGGCAGGTTCTCACCTCCGCTGTGGGTGACCCTGGCATTGGCCAGTCCCTGGAGGGAGAAAGAGAGCATCACCTCCACTGTTAGTACAAATGCTGATCATAGTGAGATATAGAAAATACTTTTGTTACTTTTGGGGGAAATATTTCTATCCAGGAAAAGACCGCTCAGTGGTATAAAGAACATGAACATCAACTCAGGATATCTGAGTTCCAATTCCATTTCTGCTTGGACCCTTACAGAAATCACTTTATCTCAGATTTCTCATCTATCACATGATTATCTTATGTTCCTAAAATAGTCACATTTTATCCATTCCCATTGTCTCTCTTCTAATATGCTCCCTTCAGCTCTCAACTGGACAAGGGCAATAGCCTCTTTCCTTGTCTCCTGGCCTCTGGCCTCTCCCCTCAACTACTGCCACACTGCAGCCAAGGAATCATTCCGTTTTCTTTCAGATTGCTCTGTGAACAAAAAGTATGCTGAATCTTGCAGTATACTTTTTTCTTCATGTGTTTTGTAGATTCTGATCGTGAGCTCATCTTCAATGGGGCCCTCTGCTCCTACCCCAGTAGTCCAGGGATTCTGCACTGTGAAATCCTTATTTAATGCTTCTTTCATGATAAATTATTTTGTGTGTGTGTTTAGTTATTTTTAGTATGAGTTGGTCTTCGGCAGATTTTAATTTTTTGTGTTTTTACTTTTTACTGATTTTAATGGGAGTCCCTTGATAACAGAGTTGTTGGTGTGTTCTTTTAGAACTGTGATCCCCAACCCCTGGCCACAGACTGGTACTGGTCCATGGCCTGTTAGGAACTGGGCTGCACAGCAGGAGGTGAGCGGTGAGTGAGCAAGCAAAGCTTCATCTGTATTTATAGGCACTCCCCATCACTGGCGTCACCACCTGAGCGCTGCCTCCTGTCACATCAGCATTAGACTATGCATGTGAGGGGTCTGCAGGCTATCTTATCACCTTCCAGGCCAGTTAGTGGAGCATTTTTGCTCCTTCTCACTCTGAAGGCCCTAACAATGCAGGGAGCTTCATCCCAATGCCTCACCTTCCAAGACTTTGTCTCCTGTCTCCAGTGCCCTGCCCGGGCATTCACACATAGCTTCTACCCTTACGGTTATTTCTGGATCTATCAACTGCTCTTCCCCCACCCCCATCCTGGCTGCCATAATACTAGCATGTACCACTGCTGCTATGGCTTTGTGTCCTTTGCAAATTTGCTATCTTGAGATTGCCTTACTTCTTAAAAGGGAAACTAGACACTACCAATCTGATGCAATCTTATCTCTACCTGCTATCATCGTATCTAGTCTTTCTGGATGAATGCAGTGTCACGTAGTTTGGCCTCTTTTCCTGTCTTCTCTTATCTCATATCTCCCTGGGCTACATTGTAGCCAGTCTAAACTCTAGCCAATGGTGTACTAGTAAATGGCTTTCTGGGGGAAAAATAAAAAGCCCTAATTTGTAGCCCGTGCCAACCTCCATGGTGTAAATATTCCCACCATGGCCAATTTCAAACTGCTATTGTGATGTCACTGAACATGGAATTTGGAAGAGACGTGTAGAATTGGCTCCCATAAATCAGTACCAGCCATCCCCAGCACACGACTGACTCCAAACACACTCTTTTTTTCTCTCCCTCCTAAAATGCCTGATCCTTTCTCACCTCTGGGCCTTTGCATATGCTGTTTCTTCTTCCCCAAACAGTCTTTCTCTCTCTTGCCTTGATATCTCCAACTATTATTAAGATCTCAGGTTCAATGTAACTCTCTCCAGAAAATCTTTGCTAATGCAGATTATGTTGGGAAATCTGGGGGTTTCCCCAGTTACAAGCCTCAGTGTGCTGTATTATATTTACCTGCTTATTTCTTACTCTCTGTCATTCGAAGTAAAAGCCATAGGATGGATGTCATATTTGCCTATCTTACATCCTCAGTTGAGAGAAGAGTGTCATGTGATCACTTTGCAGAGGTAGGTCAGGGTGAAATCACAGGGGATTTTATAAACAACAGAAGTGAGATTTAGTACCCTCTGTGGTGGTGGTGATGGTTTGAATGGTCCCTTTCAAGACAGACACTATATTGTCATTCTCAAGAGACATCCTGAAGCACGGATAAACACAGAAAGAAAGCCGCAGGGAAGTAGCCCAGTTCCTTAGTAACAAATCACAAAGTTTGGTCAGTTACCCTGAGGAAGGGGATATTCACGCTACATTAAAAAGTAATAACACTGCAACCTTTTCTGAGCAGCAGAATATAAGAAAACATCCCATTTGACTTCAAATACTGAATTTAGAATTACAGGCTTCATTAACTCAGAGTTTTGCTTATTTAAAGCAATTCTTTAATGAGGCCGTTTCTTCAAAGCGAGCGTGCTGAGTTGCGCTCTTTCCCAGATCTAAACTAGGGCATTTGGGAAGGTGTTTCCTGGAGGAAGATGCGAGAGGCTTTGCTTTTCTGTTTGTTGAAGGCTGTTCACATTTCCATATAATTCAGCTTATCCAAAGTGCCATTTGTGATTTTAACCTTCAAGGCCTATTTCTTGGGTTTCTTGGTCAGATTTTCTGGGGATGTCATTTTGGCAGCTTCGAGGTTAATCTCGTATCTCCCCCCCACCCACCCCATGATACAAACTGATAAGGGATTGAGTCATCACGTAAAGGCAGGTAAGGAATCTGTGATTGTGCTGGCAGGAGATTTATTGAGAAAAAGTGAGAATAACCCTAAGAGATTGATGGAATTATAGACATTTCATGTCTCAGCAAACTAAGGCTCAGAGAAATAGCTTCCTGTAGACAACACTGGTGGAAAGCGGTCAAGACTGGGTCTTTCCAGCTCCACGGTCGGCCGTCTTCCCATTATACACCTTGGAAATGGCAAATCTTTGAAATACCAAGTTAAAAGCCCAGTCAGCACCAACAGAGCCTGGTAATTCATTCTCTTACCCCCGTAGCTCACGGAGCTGCAAAGCGCTTACGAGGGGGCCAAGAAGACAGCTCACCAACTGAAGAGGAAGAGCCACCATCTGACCTGTGACCTGGAGGACACCCGTGTCTTGCTGGAAAACCAGCAAAGCCGCAACCACGAGCTAGAGAAGAAGCAAAAGAAGTGAGTTGTGTCCCGGCACCATCACCCAGGCTGCCAGGGGGTCTTCTGGGGTCTCTGGGGTCTTTTCCGAAGCCTTCTCTGTGGGACTTAACGCCCTTGTTTTGCTCTAATTTTCTTTCCCCTCCCCTCACATCTTATCCCTGTTCGTTTCCCCTGAGAATTTAACAAAAAAGGATAGTTTTTCGTTAGCCTAGTCTCAGCTGTGTTACCCCCTTGACCAGGGACCTTGGACAACTTTCTTAGTCTTCCTGGGTCTTCATTGACAACATCCCTGCTTGTCCAGTGAAGAGTTTGTTGCAGAGGGTGAAGACAGACAGGCAAGCGTGGTAGTTAGAAGCCCAGGCACAGCTCAAGCCCCAGCTGTGCCTCTCTCTCCTTAAGAGCCTGGACTGGTCTTTCAGCCCTTCTTGGCCTTCAGGTTTCTTATCCCTGGGTTGGGGGCGAGCTCGCCCTCTTGTGGTGAGGAATAAATGATACGGTTGGTACCCGCTTGGTCATGGTGTATAATTCTTTTTATGTGTTGCTGGAATCACTTTGCTAAAAATTTGTTATAGATTTTTGTGTCTGTATGCCTAAAATGTATTATTCTCTAAAAAAAATTAGGCAAGAGATTGGTCATGGTGACTCATGTCTATAATCCTAGCACTTTGGGAGGCCAAGGCGGGTGGATTGCTTGGCTCAGGAGTTTGAGACCAGCCTGAACCAGAGTGACACTAAAAATAGATAAAAAGGAGCTGGGTGTGGTGGCACATGCCTGTAGTTCCAGCTACTCTAGAGGCTGAGGTAAGAGGGTTCCTTGTACCCAGGAATCTGAGGTTGCTATGACACCATGGAACTCCAGTGTGGAGCAACAGAGTGAAACTCTCGTCTCAAAAAAAAAAAAAAAAAAAAAAAATGGGCAAGAGAATGAAGAGAGGCATTCCATCGTGATATGAGAGTCCAAATCATTAATAAGAAAGGCTCCCAAAAGACAGGAGTCTCTGCCTTTTTTATTTATGATTTGGACTCTCATATCACGAGGGAGCAATTCTGGCAGAGACTGGGCCTTGTGTGCCAACAAGGTGCCCATCTCCATTCTACCCACTGGTCTCCCATCAGGATGCTGTCAGCACCAGGTGAAGATGGAGCCTGGTCCATACAATCACATACAATCATGGGTTTCCTTGTGCAGAACCTCAGTACCTGTGATGCTTTGATCCCTGGACAACTTGGCTGTGTCTAGCATACTTCAGCTCACTTGGTTGAGGGTAAAGGTGTGCAGGGTTCCTGTTTTGAGATAGGCAAACCCTAATAGAAACTTCTTAGAAGGCAAATCGGTCGAAGGCAGCCCCTTTTAGAAGACCCAGAATAAAACACAGAAAAAATTTACTATGCAAGCCAAAATGTGATTTTACTGAAGGTGCCTCTTGCCCAAGAGATAGCAAGGAGAATTATATTTCTACGGGGGTAGCATAGATTTTGGACTTGATCTGCATTAAATATATATTTATATCATTTATGTGTCAACTTTGCTGAGCTGGTGTCTTCATCTTAAAAAGAAAATCTTCTGGAGGTTGTTAGCGTGCCCCTCCCCTAGATAAGAAAGTTTTGTTCTCTTTTTGTTGCTATCTTATTCTGTTTCCTTTTCTGCATCCTCATAAGTGCGCTGGTTAAGCCTTACCTTTGCAGTCAAGAAAAGGGGTCAGCTGTTCCTTGGCCACTCACTGTGTGACCTTGTCAAACCATACCACTTCCCTGGGCCAGAGAGTGACTCATGTTTCAGATGAGTGCTTGGACTTAATGGATCACCTGATCCCAAAGAATATCTCTGGCAGACCCCGTCTGTGAAGTGAGAGGTGTGGACACTGTTATCTCCTAGGTCTCTCCTAGATGTGACCCTTGGGCTTCCAACTGTGGGTTCCACGCCTGTTCTGAGAGACTTTGTCTCAGTGGGTAGGGTCCAGTCTCAGAAATTTGTGCAGTCAACAAAATGCCATCTCTCTGGCCTTTCTGTGGCCCCATTGGGTAGAATCCCTCATTCTAGACACTTGTAAGTGATGTCCCCTGGGAACATACCCATTTCTTCATATTTGCATTTGCTCCTCTTGAAACTTATCTGCCTTGTGATCCCTCTGCTCTGCTACTATCTCGTGGCAGAAACTATTATTTTTTTATGTTAATTGCAGTTAGCAGGCATTAACTTTCCAAGTGAACTTTTTTTTTTAATTGAGACAGTGTCTCACTTTGTGCCCTCTGTAGAGTATTGTGATGTCACAGCTCACAGCAACCTCAAACCCCTGTGCTCAAGCAATTCTCTTGCTCAGCCTCCCTAATAGCTGGGACTACAGGCATCAGCCACAACACCGGGCTATTTGTTTGTTTGTTTAGTAGGCCCAGGCCAGGTTTGAACCTACCAGCCCGGTGCACGTGGCCAGTGCCCTAACCACTGAGCTATGGGCACCAAACCCCAGGTGGATTTGAATTTTAGTAGGGAAACTAAGAGGGCAGCGGAAGTCTCAGTCTAATGGGGGAAATTCAGACAGAATGACTATGGTGAGAGAGAATTCTAGAAATCAGTGACACTTCTTGCATCTCTCGAAATTTAATTAAATTGTGGCTGCAGCTGTCTCCTTAGTTTGATGGGCCCAGGATTGAGTCATGTCTCTGTGCTGGTAAAGGTCTCTTGTCTCCACTTTGGCTTCAAAGTTCAGAGTGGCCCAGAATGCTTCCATCTGGGGTTGGGTTCTGGTTGCTATGGTGACCCTATGGGTCACAAAGCTCAGTTGCTAGCTCTGACAGAACTTTTGGGGTAAGCCTTGGACTAGCCCTACTGACTCTCACACTCACAGGAGGCGGCTGGACTGCAGACCTGCTCCTGGTGGGGTGAAGGGGGTGTGCAAGTCTGTCTGTCCTCAGGCAGTTGGTCCATCCATGTGTGCTAGGAATCAGGGTCTATAGGAGTCATTTTTTGGCATTAAGTGGCCTGTTAAGTCAGGGATCCCTTTGCAGGATCAGTTACAGTCTGGGTCTGACTAGCTCACCTCACCTGTTTCAGGAATAAACAAGTAGATGGAGGAATAGCTGAGACACTAGGGGAGCCGGGCTCAAGACGATTCCTAGCACTCCGGAAGGTGGGACTGAATTATTCCTCCTCTCAGAACTTCATTTACTCCTCTGTAAATGGATATAATAACATAGGTTTCTTGCTGTATTGTTGTAAGGACCACAGCCCAGGGGCTGGAACATTGGGACAGCTTGAGCTTCACTGTCATCACAAAGCTCCCACTCGGTGGCAGGGTAGAACATGTGGAGTGATGTCACCGACAGCCAATGAAACAGCTCCAGCAGGAGGACTCCCTCCTGTGCTCTGTGTCTGAGACTTTGAATGACCATTGAGTATTAAGGGGCACTGGATATTCTTGTAACAAGGAGGACTTTCTTGTCACCAAAGCTCAAACTCCATACTCAGTTCTGCCTTATCAAGTTCTCAGGAACAATGGGACGAGAGCAGGTGACTCCGCGTCTTATGAGGCTTGGCAAAGGCTCTTTATAGGTTTTCTCATCTGTTCTAGGGGCTGGGAGGCTGAGGAAACTGACTGGAGGATGTGAAGCTGAGACTGCCTCTCACCTAGTGGTCACCATCACAGAGGGGCAGGAAAGCCCCTAACGAGGCGTTTCCTAATTCCCTGGATTACTAGGAGTAGGACTCTCTAGTTTTTGTGTTTTATGCTTGGAAAACAAATGAGGATAAGACTGAATGTCCAGCATGTGTGCTTTATTCTGGCTTAGGAGAAGATAAGCCAGACAGAATGACGTAAAATATAAAATGTAGACTACTCTTATTTGTGTATATAAGTATGTATTCATTCCAGTGTTCACTGGTCTGTCAATCCTGGGCTTGGGGGAGTTAAAAGGTGTTGGCAAACCAGATAGGTTAGCTTTTTGTAGTTATCTTTTATTCTATATCTGCATATTGTTTTATTCTATTTTAGTTTTTGTCTATGTGTTTTCATCAGATTTCTACTAAGTATCACTTTTTCTGTGTGACAACTTTATGTAAGCCCTAAAATTGCTGTAGTATTCCAGATTCCCTTACCACATCCACTACTTTACATCAAAGCATTGACCAAACCCTCCATCTTTTCATTTTCTTTCTTAAATCTCTTTTTCTCACTCCCAGGCTTTTTCTTGTGGTTCTTGGCAAAACAAACCACCTCTCTCCAGCTCCTCCCTGTCCTTGCCTCAGTTTCCCCCACTGTGGCACCCTGACACATGTTCTGCTCCCAACAGGTTTGACCTGCAGCTGGCCCAGGCCCTGGGGGAGTGTGTGTTTGAGAAGGGCCTCCGAGAGAAGGTGACCCAGGAGAACACCAGTGTCCGCTGGGAGCTAGGCCAGCTTCAGCAGCAGTTGAAGGTAAGGTGAGAGGGACACAGAGCCATCTTTGCTCTTTGCTGCTGGATCTCGGGAAATCCCATCACACACCCGTTACAAATTGGTGACCGAGATAGAACCCTGCATGGGTGTCCTGGTCTGTCAGGCAGCTGTAGTCAGGAGTCCCAGTATGTGTTTAAAAAACCAACAGTGACTGGACAATTGATTATCCGACCTTCTACGTTTGATGTCTTGATCTTGTTGCAGTTATCAGTGCAGATTCCAAGGTGTCTACCAGGGAGGTGCAGGAACTCAGCAGACAGTGAGTTAGCTATAGCCCTGTCCAGGAGCGTCATCCTAACCTACACGGGATCTGATGCAGAGGGAGGACTTTATTAAAATACAACCCAGGTGCCTCACTCGGCTGCTCCTCATCCTTCTGTGGCTCCCTGTTAGTCCCATAAGAACCTCTAAACCCATTAGCCTGGTATTCAGCTTCTTCATGTTCTAACCTAGCAGTTCTCAACCTGTGGGTTGCGACCCCTTTGTAACAGTGAAACTACATGGCGGCATTAGGAAGGTTGTTTGACTCTGGAGTTGACTTTCTAACCTGGAAGAGTTAGAGCAGGTGCTGAGGGGCCCTGAGGTCCAGTGGAGATGGGAATGCCTTGGCAGGCAAGTGGAAAGCGCACTCCAGCAGGTTGCAGACATATTCCCGGGGGAGGAAGAGGGTGTGCTCATGCCACTCTGGGTTTCTGCCCACTCTGTAGCAAACAGAGCAGGAAACCTTGCAGCTGAAGCAGGAGGTGGAGATGCTGCAGGAGCAGAAGCGGGAGCTGCTGAAGTCACCCACTCTGGGGGAAAATAGCGTCGCTGCCTTGAAGGAGAGGCTCTGGAAGCTGGAGGCTGGTGCTCTTGAACAGCAGAAAATCCAGAACCAGCAGAAAAACACCATCAAACAGCTGGAACAGGTAGGAAAGCCCTGCCTGGGGTGATGCCCTGTGCCATGCTGGCTCCAATGCAGAGTGATGTTATATATAGAGAGAGAGATAGCAAGAGCATGTAATGTGGCTGCTCTTCATCCCTCCATGGCTCCCTATTACCCCAGAGAGTCTTTAACCTCCTAAGTCTTCTATTAAGATTGTTAATGATCTGGCCCTCTCCTACCATCCTCAGAGGCAGGTGGCTTGATCACCTTGCAGATAGCCCCACTGCCGTTCCATAGTCACCTTCCATCTCCTAGCTGGTTTGCTCTACTTCACAGTATCTACCAGCATATGGGATAGTATTTTTAAAAGTTTGCTCCATGCTTTCTCTTCCATTGGAGTATGAGTTTCATGAAGTCAGGTTGTCGCTGTTGTTGACCTTGCTTTGGTGTATTTCTAGAGCCTAGAATGAGGCCAGGTATATGGTTGATGCTGAAAATAACTGCTGACCAAACAATCTAATGTTGCTTGAGCCCTGTCTGTGCTCTGAACTCAGCCCTTCACTTCCTCACACGTTTTCTCATGAATCTCCACAAAAACCTCTTGTGAAGAAATATTAGTTTTATCTCCATTGTAAAGATGTGAAAGTTGAGGCTTAGAGGCTTGGAAAGAGTGGCGGGGGTGGGATTTGGAACCTGCTTCATGTGACTTCACACTGTTTTGAATGCCTACTGCCTGCACGGCATCCTGCGTAGCCTCAGGGAAGAGCGGCATGCTAGCCTTTGGCAAATATAAAATAACTAAGGGGAATAAGACAGGGGTGGCACACGCTCTTACGCTAGTATTCTCAGTAAAGCACCAGGCGAGCATCTTATTGGCCTGACTGTTTATATGTGTGCTCACCTCACTCTATAAAGACTTTGAGGCAGCTTCCTGGATATATGCATAATATTTAAAAATTACAAATAAAGCAATCTGAGTCAGAGAAGTCCAAATTAAAATAGATGCTAAGAAGGGGGGGTGTGTGGGGATAGTGAATTAATATGCAGGTACACAAAACATAGGATCTTACACCTTTAATAGCTTTCATATCCCTGGTAGCCAGAGAGAAAAGGAAATGTGAATTACATGCTTTTTATGATCCCCCAGTTAAAAAAAACCAAACCAATATGTCAAGGAGAAATAAGGCCTTTTCTGATGGCTTAGCACTGAAGAAAATTCCTCATATGGGATTTTGTAAAAAGGCAGCTATTGTTAAGTGGATTTTAAAAGGCTGGGACCCCTTTATGCAAGAAAATCAGACCAGGCGGCGTGGGTCTGCTCTGAGCAGCCCTGTGGCAGAGGGACGGAAGAGCCAGGGTGCCAGCCCTTGCTTTTTGGTTACTCCATGCGGTCAGGACGGAGCCTCCTGCGTGTCAGGGTGTGGGGGTGGTGGGTGTGGACAGACAGGGTCTGGAGAGCCTTGGATGCCCATTAAGGAGCAGTAAAGAAGACAGGACATGAGTGGATCCCTTGAGCCCAGGAGTTGAAGGCTGCAGTGAGCTATGATGGAGCCACTACACTCCAGCCTGGGCAACAGAGAATTTGTCTCTGACAAACAAAAGCAACAAAACACAGAACCTCTCCTTCACTTACTCAGTTAACTGTATTTAAGTGGCTCGTCTGTGTCAGGCTCCCTGTGATGCTGAGGACGCAATAATAAACAAGACGGACACTGCCTCTGCGTTTCCAAAGCATACAGTCATGTTACAGAGGCATTTAACTTGCAGATCTGGTCATGGGACCAGGGTTAGGAGAGAGGTCAGGGAAGGCTTCTTGGAATAAGTGACATTTACTGAAACTGAACACTACAGTTGGCTAAATGAGAGCGTTTCAGGCAGGGGGAAAGCTGGCGCAAGGGCCTTGAGGCAGGACAACTGTATGACATTTAAGGAGCTGTCATGGGGGGTCTTTGAAGCAGCTTGTTGACTATGTGACTTTAGGCAAACTCTCATTTTCTCTAGGCTTCAGTCTTCTCCTCTGCACAATGAAATACAGAGTCTCTCCAATCCCCTAGCTTCCTGCCAGCCCCAGCTAGGAACTTGCAAAGGTTTGTGAAGAAGGTGGAGACCCATCAGAGTAGGTCTGTGAAGGATGTCATGGTACCCTATCGCGCAGCAACCCCTGTGTTCTTTAGCTGAGCAGGATCCTCACAGAGCCAAGGACAAAACAAGCACTTTTGTTTTGTGTTGTGTTGTGTTTGTTTGTTTTTTATTAAATCATAGCTGTGTACATTAATGCAATCATGGGATACAGTGTGCTGGTTTTATATACAATTTGAAACATTTTCACCAAACTGGTTAACATAGCCTTCATGGCATTTTCTTAGTTATTGTGTTAAGCCATTTATATTCTACATTTAGAAGGATTCACATGTACTCTTGTAAGATGGATCATAGGTGTGGTCCCACCAATCACCTTCCCTCCACCCATCCTCCTCCCTTCCCTTCCCTCCCTCTCCCCCTTCCCCATATTCTTGGGGTATAATTGGGCGATAGCTTTCATATGAAAGCTATAAATTAGTTTCATAGTAGGGTTGAGTACATTGGATACTTTTTCTTCTAGCACTTTTGAAAACTGCCTTAACTCTTTAGCATACCAGCATGGGAGCATGCTCGGAAGCAGAAATGTACTACGGGAACCCCAGGGACCCCAAAGTTAATGCAGCTTCCTAATTTTCCCCTTCAGCTTACCCAGGAGGTGAGGCTGACTCAATACCTTTATCCGTCTTCAACTTTCACCCTAACCTTGTGCTTGTAGACCATCCAGTAGATATTTAGTGATTATAATATAGCACCTTTTTTTTTTTTCTGAGAATTTTATGTTAACTCATATAAGTTTGACATAAATGATATTGCAGGTATCAAGAATGTCCAAGAGGCTAGGAAAAAATGAAAAGGAAATATTATATTTACTTTCTCGGGCTTCTTGATTTGGATTATCTTCGTATAACCTCTGTCATTTTAAAGAAGGAAGGGAAGGAAGTTGACGTTTACAATGAGCCCAGCTTCCTTCTGACAAGGGCTCTCAGGCTCATGATCCTTTTTTATTTTTTGTAGTTTTTGGCCAGGGCCGGGTTTGAACCCGCCACCGCCGGTATATGGGGCTGGCGCCCTACTCCTTGAGCCACAGGCGCCACCCTCACTATCCTTTTGCTCTTAACTACTGCCCTACGCAGCAGGAAAACCAACATTTTACATGAGTTTTCTCAAGGTAATTTCCATGTTAGAGACAGAATTTGTGAATTTTGGGGAGCTAAATGAGAGATATTGGGGCAGTACAGTAAATGATCAGGAAGTTATTGTTTCTAACGTGTAACCCATCTATATTATTGGGTTCCAAATATTACTCTGTGGCCCAACAGCATTAAAAGGTAGAGATGAATGAAAGCTTTCAAATATATATATTCTTAGACCCTGTTCCCCAAAGATTCCGATCAAATATGTCTAGCATGAAGCCCTGCAATTGGAAATGTTTTAAAAATGCGTTGGTAATTGTAATATGCCACAAAACTTGAAAAACCAGGGCTTGGGCTAATCTGTCCATTATGCAGATTAGGAAAGTGAAGTCTCATACTAGAACTGGAACCCACAACTTTTGCCTTCAATTTTGAAACCTTTTATATGACTTCACACAATTTAAATTATTATGCATAGCCCTTTACCTGCTGTCCATGTGTTTTGGAGACGCTTGTTTAAAAGCCTCAACTCCTTGTGAGAGCACAGCTTTTAATGATGTCAGGCTGCCAGGGAGGGAGGGAATAGTCTTTTCTCTCTGTTTTCAAAATAATGGGTGAAGAGAAATATTTATGTCTCAGGCACGGTGCCAGGTGCTTTATATGGATCATATCATTTATTCTGGGTAGATACCTAGTAATAGGATTGCAGGATCAAATGGAAGGTTTACTTTTTAGCTCTTTGAAGATTCTTCATGTTTCTTTCCATAGAAACATGGCTGAGGTTGCAATCTCACCAGCAGAGTAGAAGTGCAATCCCCCTTCTCTCTGCACCCACGCCAGCATCTGCAGCTTTGTGATGTGGGCTGTTCTCACTGGGCTTAGGTGATATCTCAGAGTGCTTTTGATAATTAGGGATGATGAGCATTTTTTCATGTTTGTTAGCCATTCATCTATCCTCTTCAGAGAAGGTTCTGTTCATGTCTCTTGCCCACTTATAAACAGGATTGTTCATTTTTTTCTTGATGATTATTTTGGGTTCTCTGTATATTTTAGCTATCAGCCCTTTGTCACCTAATTCTCATAGTAGTATTCTAAGATGGTTGCTTTCTACAGGGAAAGGGAACTGATCCAGAGACGATGTGAATTTTCCCAACATCTTGCCAAGTTACCTCCCTCCTTAGGCTTCTGTACCTTTATAAAATTTTGTTTTGTTTTGTTTTAAACTTTTTCCACCCCTCCAAATAAAACAAAACAGAGCAAAACAAAACAATAACATAGCTGATGCCCGCTCCAGGGGTGAGAAATTTGTTTCATCTTGAGAGGAGTGTTGAGAAGAATTCTGAGGCTAAACTCAGTGGGAGAGCATGATTGATTCGTAAGACTTGTTATAACCATAAGAAGGGCTTGCGGCGGCCTTTGGGCTATTTATCTACCATTTCTGACCTTCCGGGGTTCCTAGGGAGATGACTTGACCTTCATTTTATGCATTGCAAAAATGAAAAACACAATTGGAGCATCAAGGATGACATGCAGGGTCAGGAGAGTTAGAGTGGGCCACCCTCACACACTGTCCTTGCCACCCCCAGCTCCGCCAGAGGTTCGAGCTGGAGATTGAGCGGATGAAGCAGATGCATCAGAAGGACCGTGAGGACCAGGAGGAAGAACTGGAGGATGTCCGTCAGTCCTGCCAGAAACGGGTATGTGAGCACAAGCACATTGGTACCCTCAGGTCCTGGTAGCCCAATCTGGATGGCCTTGTCCTAGAGAAGGGAGGAGGCCAGGGCCAGAAGCCCAGGGACAGGCTCTTTCTGTAAGCACCTGAGACCTTAGCTCCCAAGGTAGCTCCAAGGGCTTAGGGGCAGAAATACCTATCTTAAATATGACCTTGGAACTTCCAGAAGCCCTGAAACTTTACAGTATAATCATGCAAAGATTTCTAGTAAGAGCCCATAGATGCCATGTGTGACTGATGCCGTGGGTAAGGATTTCTATGTTTCAATAATGGGACCAATCTCTTCTGGCTATTTCCATTGCAACTCAAATCATTTCTTACACTTTATCCAAGATCTTGGCAGCCATTCCAAACAGTGTATAAAAAAGCAATAAACCCTTGAAATCTCGCCACCTACAAACCATCATTATTACTGTTTTCGATGTTCTTTCATATCGCTCTTTCACTGTGCCTGCACGCACACGAGTTTGCAGAGATATCATTCTCGCAAAATGAGGTCGTGGTGTTTGAAGCCTCCTCTTTTGACTCAGCAGTTTGTCATGGCCTCTTTTCACGTCTGTAAATACGTATCTAACTTAACATTATTACACCCTAAGAATGTACTCTCGTTTATTCAACAAATCCCCTCTCACTGAACAGCTAGTTTGTTTCTGGTTTTCTGTGGTTTGAACTGATTCTGTGACAAACATTCTTATAGCCGTATTGGCTGATGCGAATGTAAGATGAATCCTTAAAGTGGAATTGCTGGAAAGCTTTGAGTTAAGCCTCATGTAACAGGTCCCCACACTTACCCTAGTGTGACCTTCCCTCCCACCACCTCCTCCCATCTTACATGTGAACACCACATGGGAATGAATATTCTGCAGGTCACACTCCAGGACACTTTTCCTTGCATGTTATATAGTGGGGATTTTTTTTCATTATTTTGTATATTTTTCAAAATGAGTTTTGACTTTTCTAGTCTTTATTCTAAAACCAGATATGACCAGAGTGCCCCATAGATCTCACTCTTAAAAGAAAGTTTTTAAAATGAACTTGCTTTCTATAGAAATGACCATAAATCAGTATTTTTTCTTTTCTTTCTTTGTTTTTTGCCCTCCATGGGTCAAGATACGAATGCCCGCAGTCCCTGCCCATGTTCCTTCAGATGAAGGTTGCACAAATTTCTGGTCCATTCCACCTCAATGTATGGTATATGCCCTGGACCAGGACTCCAATGAGTTGGAGATGTGACCCAGACCCTCCTGAGGCTTTTCTGTGAACAGATTTATAATGGGACAGAGTGAAGTCAGAGAAAGGTGTTTTTCTCCTGTGACGCACACTGACATTGACTTCACATTCAAGTGACTGTTCTGTCCAGTCTATCTGTCACTGTGACAGGAAATCAATTGTTAGTGACCTGGGTGGGAAGGCTGGGGCTGTCTCTGCCTGGCAGAGAGAGCTGGGGCTAGGAGATAGGACACTAATTCCTCCAAACAACCACTGATGTAAGAGTAAGTACTTTAGATCTCTTCAGGACTTAGATTGCCCATCTATGAAGTAGGATCCCCAGTGGTACAAAGGGGAGATGAGGGAAAGAGAAGAGGTAATATACCTGATCAAGGATGGTACATGCAGTGCATCTGCAAAACCCAGCTGCAGAGGGGTATCCACTCGAGTGGGGAGTGCCTGTGTTTGCCAGGTAATCCCAGTGAAGTCAGGGCCGACTATGAATTAAATGAATTTCTCAGAGTCAAATGCCTTAGTCCATTCAAGCTGCCATGGCAGAGTACTATGGACTTGATGGCTTAAACAGCAAACGTTTATTTCTCACAGTTTTGGAGGCTGAGAATTCTGAAATCAAGGGGCTCGAAGACTTACTGCCTGATGAGGGCTCTCTTTCTGGTTTGTAGACAGCCTCTTCCTCATGGCAGCCTCACATCATGAGAAAGAAAAAGAGGAAGTGAGCTTTCTCTGCTGTGTCTTCCTATAAGGGCACGAATCTCATCATGGGAGCACCACCCTCATGGCCTCACCTCCAAATACCATTGCACTGGGAGTTAGGGTTTCAACATATGAATATTAGAGGGACACATGTAGTTTATAACACCAATAATTTCAAATGCAACTTTTCTTGACTGCTCCATAGTATATTTAATAAGGGAGGTGGATGCATTTTAATATGTTGGCTATATTGTCATTCAGCCTTAATGAATCAGAGTGCCAAGACTTTCACATATTCCATCAGTGCTCATAGCCATAGAAGGAAGGTGTCTTTTCTTTTGGGGGGTTGTGGGAGGGGCTTCATAGTCAAGGGGCCCATCATTGACCAGCTCCCAAGCTTCTAGGCTCTTGAGTTCTCCAACAGAGACATGCCCTCCCAATTCCCAAAGGTGGCCTTTGTGGAATAAAGCCACGTGTTCCACATCCCTCCCTCCTCCCAAAGGTCCCTGACTTGTGGGATTTGTCTGAACTGAGCTCTTTCACCCTATGTGCGCCTCTGCCCGGTGTACCCACAGCTTCGTCAGCTGGAAATGCAGCTGGAGCAAGAATATGAAGAGAAGCAGATGGTCCTCCATGAGAAGCAGGATTTGGAAGGCTTGATTGGAACCCTTTGTGATCAGGTGAGCAGGAGACATCAGCAGACATTTAAAAGGACATGCTCCTGTTAGAGAGACAAACTCATGGGGACACCAGTTGGAGGGGTGCCAGCCACTGGTCCTCAGGAAAGGTCAAGGAATGGGCATTTTAGCTGGCCTGTCCCACCTTTCCCCAAGTGCCCCCTTCACCGCCATTTCTCTTCTGGCCATACTTACTGGCTTTTCCAAGGAGACCTCCAGGTGCCGGCAAACAGCAGGGCTTTTGGAAGAACCCATGGCAGTAAACAGAAAAGGCTCAGCCGGAGCAGTAGGCGAGCTCATCTTGCCTTCAGCACCTGTTGTGGTAAACACATAGACCAGTGGTTCTCAACCTTCCTAACACTGAGACGGGGAGTGGGGGAGTCACTACAACATAAGGAACTGTAGTCAAGGGCAGCAGCATTAGGAAGGTTGAGAACCACTAGTGTAGACAGTCCTTGCTTTAATGGGGTGAATGCAAATGGCCACCGCTCTCACAGCTGCTCTAGAGAGAACCCGACTTTTTCTAGAAGCTACCAGGCTCAGAGTCAGGTAAACACCACTGTAAACTCCAGCTGGGACTACATCTGTGCACATGGCTTTGAGTGAGCCAGCGGACCACTTGGAGCTTCTGGGGAGCAGAACCTTGTGAAGCCACTGTGATCACTGCCCTCAATGTCAAGCCAGCACCATGGACATTCAGAACTAGATCATTCTCTATGGTGGGGGCTGTCCTATGCACTGTAGGACATGGAGGAGCACCTTGGCTCTGCCCACTAGATGCCAGAAGCTCACCCCCCAGTTGTGACAACCAAGAATGTCCATGGACATTGCCAAATGTCCTCTGGGGATGAAAATCAAACGTCCTTCCCTACTGAGAATAACTCCTGTACTCAAGTAGCCGGCAGAGCTCAGAGTCAGCTTCTGATTCCAGAGTTGCAAGGACTCATTCTTTCATCCTCCGAGTATTCCATTCCCTGCCTGTTCTGCTGCCACATGAAAACCCAACATTGGAGAGAAATGGCTGTGACTTCTACAGTTTCTTTTAGAGGCCCAGGAGTGTATTTTAATGTATTTGCTTCCCAAGGGCTCAGTGTCGCTAATCAGTAACAGTCTTATGATCAATATCCTTTCCTAAATTCATTCACAAAAGAACATGGGTCCACTGCAGATGGTCACCTAGGGTGGCTAGGCTTTGAACAAAATAGGTGCTCATTGTGTATTTTAAAATAAGTGGATTAATTGAGTAATTGTGCAGGACCATCATAGCAGCAGGAGGGAGCTTTGGAGGCCAGGGAACAACAGGGAAGATGCATTATCTTCCTTTTACTCTGGGTTTTCTAGTTTTCCAGACAAGAAATTGGGACCATTGAATTCAGAGCCATTGAGGTGTCTTTCTTCCATATCAGTGCAAGAGAGCACAGCCCAGCACCAAATTCCAGAAGGACAGTCAGGAATCAGTCAGAGAAGGTTGCATTCTATTCAAAACAGTTCATTTGACAATGCAAAGTAGATAATCCAATAAAGAAATATTTTTAAAATAAGTATTGTCATAATAAATTTTGCATGTCAAGGGAAGGTAAGTTTATTTAGACGGATAAATGCCACTTTTATGTTAGTCATCAAAATTACCCCATTTGATGATTTCAAATGTTTTTGTTATAACCCTTGCCAGATCTGTAGAAGAGTAGAAACGATAATATAATTGGTGTTTATGTACCAAGGACCCAAGGTTCACATAAACTAACATTTTGCCATATTTGATTCAGAAGTCATTAAGGAAACAAAACATTTCAAAAACAGTTAATGTCCTCTTGATTTCCCTTGCAAATCTTACTCTGTTCCTTCCCTTCCTCTTTCTTCCCTCCCTCCCCCAGAGGAAGCCATTATCCTGAGGCTGGAGTGTGAAATTCCCTTGTATGTATATTTCAACTCTAAACAGAGACCACGTACAGATTCTGCACCGTTCTTGGTCTCCTTCCATATGGTGTTTCTGAGATTAGTCCATGATAATACATATAGCTTTAATTAGTTCATTTAACTGCTACACAGCATTTGTTTTTTAAACCCCCTTTTTCGATTGGATATGTAGTTGTTTCCGCCCTAAAGACACAGTCAAGGTATATTCTTACATGTGTCTCACTGTGCTCATGGGCAAGAGTCTCTCCGGGGTCTGTAGCTAGAAGGGGAATTGCTGGCTCCCAGGAAGGTGCAATTTTGGAATTGTGAAATATGGCCCAAGTGGTTCACCAATGTAACTGTGGCAGTTTCCACACTGAGCAGCAGTGTCTGAGGCACTGTCAAGACATTTTTAATGTTTTTCCTTGACATTAGGTATTAAATGTCCTGCATTACTGGTGAAGTTTTTACATGCTTATGTGTGTTTTTTTCTTATATGAATTGCCTGTTCATAGTCTTAGGTACCAGGATTACAGGCGTGAGCCACTGTGCCCCGCCTGTAGCTGGGAATTTTAAATCCAATATTTTAGACTCTGACATTTCATAAAAAATTTAATTTATTTACATTTATTATAATGCCTAATATATTTGAAACTATTTGTATCATCTATTTTGTGATTAGCATTTGTTGTTTTCCTTTTCTTTGCCCTTTCTTGATTGCTGTCTTATTTTTAGATAATGTTGTTAATGTTTCTTTTGGTTCTATTGCTGGCTCAGAAGCCACAAACAATATTTCTGTTCTTATAGTGAATAGAAATTAAGTACTTATCTAATACATTTTTAAATTAAGTACTTAATCATAATTTTTTCTAACATACTTTAATTTTCAAAGCAGTGCTGTGGGATAGGTATTATTATTTTCTTCATATAAGTGAAAGAAATGATAATCAGAGAGGTAAGGCAACTTAGCCAGGATCATCTAGCCAGTTAGTGCTTTAAGTGGATTTTAAATGAATTCTATATTATTTGAAAGTCTGTAATTTTTCACATCTAACTTCCTTGTGCTTAAAAGTAATAAGGTCCAGTTGACCAGAAACATACTTTACGTGAACCATCTTTTTTAAAATTTTCCTTTGAATAGTATTTTCAGGTAGCTTGGATCTGCCATTATTTTGTCACGAAACCTTCAGCAACTTCCATTCTCTCTCCAAGACTCAATTTCCCTTCTTTAAAGGGGCTTGATTGTCCCTAACAGAATTTCTAGATCATATTTTAATAGTGCTTGAAAAGTGCTTTGACAATGGACATTTAGCAACCACCCCAAATAATTTGCCTGTATGATAAATGGTGAACCAATTGAGGGTTGAATATAGTTTCCCAAAGCAACACTAAACATCATTTAGATTTATTGGTTAATTATTCACCATCTTTATCCAAGTTTGAATCTTTGTGCTGCAAAATGAGAACTCACAGAATGACATTTATTTCTCATTAACCTAATGAGGGTTTCTTTTTGCCCTCCTTTCTTGTAGCAATTCATTATAAAGGGGAGGATGACTAGTCTGAGATTTTGTTGAGAATTCTGTTTGTAATGCTTTCTGGAAAGGAGACGGTGCCAGCATTTTCAGAGGCTTTCTGGCAGTGAGGCTGGTAGAATATGAGCCATCTCTAGTGCATGGTCAGTGCCAATCAGGAGATGTCTCTGATGCTAACTCACCCCATAGGAGAATCACAGGCACTTTAGGATGTGTGCAGAGTATGAGGAGACACAAATGGAAAAACCATTTGATCATGGTCCAAGTCTGTGTTCTAAGTAAATTCGGGTTGAGCTGGAAGTTGTACTGGGCACTGTGGTGCAGTGGTTAGAGGCTCATGTTAGGTTGCTGAGCTGCTTGGGCTCCAATCTCCTGCATAGCCCCCGAGTACCCCTTCTATCACCTACCCTGCCTTTCCTCATGACAGCACCTACTCACTTTGTGACCGCCTCCACTCCTGCCTCATGCCAACCACCTAGAAGTGCGTGTACCAGACTATTTCTCTCCTCTGTCTCTGCTCACACGGTGACTTCTAGCGGCAGCGCCTTGCCTGACCTCCCCTAACTGGGAGGAGCCGCCCCCTATGTCCCTATTCCACTCCAACCTGAGCTCGGTGATGCTCCTCTGTCTCAAGGGATATTTTACTAAAATCACCTCTTTCCAGCTGGAAAAACTGGATTTTTATCCCAACTCTGCCACTTACTAGCTGCATGATCTTGGGCAAATTACTTCACCTCAGTAAGCTTCAGTTTCATCATCTGTAAAATGGGACTCATAATACCACACACCTCATTGATTCACCACAATGCCTAAGTGTGTTAATCACTGAAAAGTGTTTACAACAGTAATATGACACTTAGAAAGTGTCCATAAATGTATGCTAGTACTGCATTTATAAAGGCAATCATCATCATGTCTATTTTTAAGAGATTTCCACAGGAGTTTAATGCAATAACGTGTGACAAAAGAGGGCTGGCACAATACCCAGCCCTCAGCACAGTTCAGCAGGTGATAGATAGATAGATAGATAGATAGATGGAGAGATAGATAGAGAGAGAGAGGGACCTGCATTTTAAACTTTCCAAAGCAATACATCTGAGAAAAAGGGCTGTATTTTAAGAACCCACCTCATTTTTCAAATAATTCAAAACCTGCTGTAGAGAAATAGTAATACAAAGTCTAGAGGAGCTCATTCTAGGTCATCAGACGATACTCATAATCCTTTATATTTGTAAAATACTAGACAGTGTACAAAGTGCTTTGTGATCCATTATCACATCTGATCCTTGTCTTATCTCAACACGAAGGGCAAGGATTTTTTTTTTTTAACCTCTCTTTTTATAGACAAGGAAACTCAGGTTCAGAGAAGTGCCATGATTCAGTCAAGGTTCCCAATATCAGCAAATGATGAACCTGTCATCTTGTTCTTAACCCCATGGTCTTTCTAGAATATTCTGGGCCATTCTGAGCATCCCAGGAAATAGTTAGCACTTGCTGTGGAGGTGCCAGTTTCTAGCTGTGGGGAAACCAAGTCCCACGTGAAGGCATCTGAACCCCACTTTAAGACTCATCCTCTGATGCAAGTCGTCTACGTCTTTCCCTGGTTTCTTAAAGAGTCCAAGAAGGGGGCCGTTTGTTTCTTTCAGGGATGCTGACACATTGTGTTTCTTTAGAAGAGATCACAGGCTGTGGGAATTTCATGTGGGGCCCCCAAGGAGTCCTGCCCCTCCTCCACTTTGGCCCAGCCTGTACTTTTAGCCATTGCAAGATTGCAAGTCATCAAGAAGTCTAAGGTCACACTCCTGGTGACCAGTCCAGGATGTGGCTTCTTCAGGACCCACTTGACAACTGTCCTCTGCCAATTTAGAATTCTGGGGGAAAGGAATGTGTTCGTCTCTGGGGTAAAGTCCCACTGCAGAAACTGATCTCATCTGCCTGTCCTTCAACTGGCAAAATGGGACCAGCTTAAAGGACAGAAAAGATTGATTAGATCTTCAAAAGGAGCACAGTTACAATTTACTGAGGTGTAACATAGGTGCGGAGAAGCACACAAGATCCTATGTGTACAGCCCAATAAATTTGCATAAACTCATCAAAAAGCACAAAAATGAAGATCAATATCAATAACCTCCAGAACTCCCCTCATGCCCTGTCTAGCCAAGTGCTGTCCTGACTTCTAGCGACAGAACCTGGCTAGGCCCAGAGGGACCTACCTGGCACATGAGTAGGCTCTTACAAGATGAGATAAGGTCATATCGATGACTTTGGTGCAAAAGATGAGACAGAATGGCTTTGTATCTGTACAGGCCGGGATAACAGTAGTGATAGCAGACTTTCTCGCACATTCACCCTGTGTTGGGCACTGCACTAGGCACAGGTGTAATTTTCACAGCAGTCCTGTGTGGTTGGTGCCAGTCCCATTTTGCAGATGAAGAAATTGAAGCTCATAGAGGAGAACGGTCTTGTCCAAGGTCACACAGTGTGGGTGGCAAATGCAGGATCTGGTTCAAGAAAGGTTGGACCCTGTCCACTGCTCTGCTATCTTATCTCATGGCCGGCCCTTCTTTTGGCTTCTAGATCGGCCATCGGGACTTTGACGTGGAGAAGCGTCTTCGGAGGGACCTCAAGAGGACACATGCACTACTGTCAGATGTGCAGCTCCTTCTGGGCACCATGGAGGATAGCAAGACCTCAGTCAGCAAGGAGGATCTGGAGAAAGTGCACAGCCAGGTGGGTGCCATGGGGTTCCCTGGAGGATCAGAGTGGGGAGCCTGCTGCAGCTGGGGCAGAACAGCTCTTGCTCCCAGGTAGGGGCAGGGCATGGCCTCGACCTCTGACATTCACAGACCTGCAGAGAGATGGGGGAAGTTGCAGGACTGGAAGCATTACGTAACCAAAGCAGGTAAGAAGAGAAGGGGTCTAAGGAGGCCTCCTGTCCCCTTCTTCAGAGCTAAGGCAGAATATGTCTGTCTGGAAGGCTTGGGCGGAGCAGTGCCTAGGCCAGAAGGGCTGAGTGCAGTGTGTATGTGTGTGTACGTCCATGAGGACTGGATACAAACCACATAGCAATAGTGCCAGTACCACAAAGCCAACTCTTAGTAACAGCAACCGTGATAACAAACGATGGAGGTTTGACGTCTTGTTAGACTGATGTTGATCTGACTGGCTCTGTCTGGAGCCCTTGCCAGGTGCAGGGTGCTCCTAGTGTCCTCTGTACATGTTTTCTCATGGTGTTCTCAGAGCAGCAGAATAGGGTGAGAATCACAGACTTCATCTCACCAAGATGTACGATTACCCACCCAGAATCGCACCGCTTGAAAGTGTCAGCATCGGGATTTGAACCCACATCTTTAGGCTCCACCATCCACAGCTACCTCAGCAGAGGCCAGGAGTGAGCACAGGTCTGAGAGTGGATGGTGCAATGAGGGCAGGAAGTGAGAATCTCGGAGGCAAGATGAGTGTGGTGTTTCTGGCTGCAGACCATGTGGCCAAGGGTCTTAAGACATGTGAAGAGGTTCTGCAGGGTGGCTCCAGTCTGTAGGAGAGAGGTCATGGAGCTGAATGATGTGGCAGGGACTCAGGATTTGCTACCAGTCCCTGTAGGGAGGTGAAGATGCCCTGAGAGAGTGTTGCGCCTGTGGTGTTATCCTCTAAGTCACACGTGCCCATTGCAGGAGCCATCTTGCTGAGCCTAAGTGCCTCCACCACCTCCTCTTCCTGGAGGGTTGACATCCCTTCCTCCTCCTCTCTGGTCTTACATCATTGGCCCCATCCATGCCACGTGGCTAGGGGGTTTCTTCACAGTATATCCCCAGAAACTCAGATGGCTAGAAACTTTGACTTCCCAACAGAACTGCAAGCTCTCTGAGGGCAGGAATCACACTTTGTTTATCTCTGATGATGTCCATTGAGTCCCTTGCACATAATAGGTATTTTTCTGTTGAAATCCATTGGCCTATAGATGAGGGGACTGAGGGTCCGAGAGACCCAAGGTCATACACAAGCAGCCAGAGGCCGAGCCAGGCTTGGAAACCACATCTCCTGCCTCAAAACCTAGTGATCCTCTCTCTTCCCTGAGAAGAAATAGCTCCTCTGGTCAGCAGGTCCCCCAGGAAGGCAGTGGGAGGCAGCAGAGTATAGCGCCAGGGGTCAGAGACAGGGATTCGGAGCTTCTACTTGTTCCCAGTCTCCGGTGTCAGTTTCTATCTGTATAACAGCATTTTAGGCACAGCTTATTAGCTTAAATGGAAGATTGTTTTTTATTGTTAGGAATTCATTGAGGGTACAAAGAATCAGGTTACATTAATTGCTTGTGTTAGATAAAGACCCTCTTATAATAGTGTTCCTCCCCCCAAAGATGAACCACCCCCGTGATCCCCCAGCCCCTTCCTCCTTCCCTCTCTCCACTCTCCTTATCCTCCACCCCCCACCATGTGCTAGGTCATTAATTGTCCAAGGACCTGAAACCAGAGGAACCTAATTTCAGTTTTTATTTGGGTCTCACCAACCCTGGACACCACACTGCATTCAGTTGTCATGCCTGCCCTGTCTCTTCTGGTCTGGAGCAGTTTCTCCATCTCTCCTTGTGTTTAATGACCTTGAAATTCATGAGGAGAACGGGCCAGGTGTCCTGCAGAATGTCCCCCCCCAATCTGGGTTTGTGTGATGGCTTTCTCATGATTAGACCACATTTATGGGTTTGGGGAAAGAATATCACAGAAGTGAAGTTCTCTTAAACCAGAGACATTCAGGGGCCCTTCCTCTTGTGCATTCTATAATCCTTGGTCGTCTCCTTCCTCATGCCACCCTCTCCCAGGGCTACCAAACATCCTGCCTTGTTCAGGACTTTTCTGGTTTTGGCATTTTGAATGTCCTGTGTCCTGGGCAAGCCAGGATGGCTGGTCGCTCTCTCCTCTTCACGGCCATGTCAGAAATCCCTCAGGCTGGGTGCAGTGGCTCCTACCTGTAATCACAGCACTTGGGGAGGTCAAGGTGGCAGGATCTCTTGAGGCCAGGAGTTGGAGACCAGCCTGGGCAACATACCAAGACTCCATCTCCACAAAATAATTTTAAAATTAGCTGGGTTTGGTGTCATGTGCCTATAGTCCCAGTGAGTTGGGAGGTGAGGCAGAGGATCACTTGAGCTCTGGGCTTCAGTGCTGGAGCATGCTGTGATCATGCCTGGTGACATATCGAGATCCTATTGGAGAAGAAAAGAAAAGAAAAGAGAAAAGAAAAGAAAAGAAGAAAAGAGGAAAGAGAAAGGAAAGGAAAGGAAAAGAAAAGAAAGCCAGAATCACCTGTGCTTAAATGCATCCCTCACTTAACTTCAGGAAAGGGAGGTGCCCATTTTACAGATGGTAATATTTTGTCCGGAGGCAGTGGGTAGTATCCCCTAGGTAGCACAGCAAGTAAATGGCAGAGCCAGGATCCAAATCCAGGGCTTGTGATTCTAAGTACAGCTTTAGAACTGTTTTTTTTTTTGTTTTGTTTTTTTGCCTCCCACTAAATCTTCCTACCCATTTGGCCTACCAGGTGGGGAGAGAAGCTTGAGACTGTTGGCTTGCCTTAAGTAGGCAGAGGAGCTGTCCCAGTGCTCAGCCAGAGGCCAGGCACCTTGAGTTCATGCAGCACTTTGGAGGAAGGCCGCGTGCCTGCCCATCTTTTATCAAAATGCTCCTGATGCCACAGCACCCAAGCCTCCCTCCCCGACAGGTGGGTGTTCTTGAAAAGGAACTAGGGTGGTTTTGTGTCTTTTTTCCTTTTTCTTTCTTTTTCTTTAGTATTCATGAGCATTCTCCCTCTGCAGGGTTAAAATGTGTGTTCTTGGGAAATAGTGGTATTTAATGAAGGCGCTTTGAGCTGAATCAAAGAGCATCATTCTTCTGAAAGTCCTTCTTCCCGGTCTCTGCATCCGGCTCCGATCAAAGGGAATCCACAGCCTTGGCTTTCCGTTGCTGTTGTCATGGAAATCGTTATAAGGATGGGATCGCGTGGACCAGAGGTCAGGGTATAGTTGCTTTGGCTCCCAGCACACGTGTCCCGGATGCCAGAGTCAGAGCTAATCAAATAAAGCAGTGATGACACTGGGCATTGCTGCCTCTCCTCTCAGATGTGCGGTGTTTGTCCTTTGCCTGAAGGCTGCAGGGATACAGGCAGGGGAAGCAGAAAGGAAGGGGAAGGGAGAAGGAGCCAACTTCGCCTGTGGCTGCTTCTTAAAGTGCTGGGTATTGTGTTGAACAATCCATTCACTCATTCAGCCACTGGGAATTTATGCAGCACCTACTGTGTGTCATGGTTAGAAAGACAGGTGTGGTGCCCACCCTGGTGGAACTTACATCTGATGCAAAAGACAAACAATGTTACAAATCATCCCAAAGAAAGGGGGGAAATAGAGGGTCCCAAGATAGGGAAATGTAGGGGATCTTGTTTAGCTTGGGGATCAGCTAAACTAGCCTGGGTGAAGGAAAAGCAAGAAGGGATCAGAACACACAGGGTCTGGAAGGTTTGGATTTTATGCCAAAGGTAGTGAGAAGCCAGTGGGAGATTTTGAGCAAAGTCTGACAGAAGTAGAGCAGTGGTCCTTAACCTTTTTGGCACCAGGGACCAGCTTCATGGAAGACAAAGTTTCCACCAATCAGGGAATGATTCAAGTGCCTTACACTTACTGTGCACTTTACTTCTATTATTATTTCAGTGTAATATATAATGAAGTGATTACACAACTCACCATAATGCAGAATCCATGGGAACCCTGACCTGGTTTCCCTGCAGATCAGCAGGTGTTAGAATCTCAGAAGGAGTGTGCAACCTCGATCCCTCACACGTACAGAGAGTTCATGCTCCTGGGAGGATCTGCTGCTGCAGCCGATCTGACAGGAGGCGGAGCTCACGTGTGATGTCAGCAATGGGGAGGGGCTGTAAATACAGATGAAGTTCACTTGTTCACCTACCATTCACCCGCTGCTGTGAGGCCCCACCCTTAGCAGGCCACAGACTGGTACCACAGAGGTTGAGGACCTCAGTTTTGGTTGAGGACCTCAGTTTTAGATGGTTGTTCTTCTGTGTGAAGAATGAATTAAGGAGGGGAGGAGTGGGTGTCCTTCTTGAAGGCTAATGCACTCTTCTAGGCCAGAGGAAATGGGCACCTGGGTCAGGGGTATCAATAGAGATGGCAAGAAGAGACAAACTTGGAGCCGATTTGGAAATGATGGGACTTGCAGATAAGGTTTACTTAGCACCAAGTATGTTATTTCAGATAAGCATGCCGTAACCTTAAAAGGTGGATGTTCCTATTTCTGACCCATTTTACTAACAAGGCGCCAAACTCTGAGAGGGTGAGTACTTTGCCCAAGGGCACCAGCAATACAAGTCCAGAAACTATAAATAACAACAGTCCTGTGTGCTTGCAACTTGGTTTACCCAATATGTATTAACATTTATTAAGTGCTTACTGCATACAAGCCTTTTCCTTGGTGTCTTTGGGGTCCTGAAATTTGGCTGCATGTCAGAGAACTTGAGCACCATTTAAAAATCACAGATTTATTCATCCCACCCCAGAGACACCCTTTTGCAAAATTAAGCTTTCGTTGAAATCCAGAATTGACATTTGTAAATAACCACATCAGGAAATTTGGAGGCTGAACTGAGAACCAGCATTTGAGAAACATAGGTCTTAATTATGCCATTTTGCAGATGAAAAAACTAACAGAAAGGTATGTTAGAGTGAC